CCTGTGAAAGGGTCGTTCGACCCCCAAAGGGGTCATGACCCACAGGTTGAGAACTGCTGTCCTAAAATAAAGAAACCTATTTCTATGAAGCCTTTCTCAAAATGACAAACTTAGGATTCCTTGCTGCTCAGCACAGGCTGCCAGCAATATGGCACTCCTACCAGGAGTGATTCTTTTTACTTTTTTTTTTGCATTTATTTATTTTTTTATTAGTTTCAGGTGTACAGAGCAATATAATAGACATTTACACCCCTCACAAAATGATAACCCCCCCAATCTACTACCCCTCTGACATCGTATATAGCTGTTACTATACCATTGACTATATTCCCTATGCTGTACTCCACATCCTGTGACTATACATACACACCGAGGGTGCCAAAAAATGTATACAAGTGGACATTTTGGTCAGCGTTGCTCAAGCAGTAGTTCATCATAATCAGAAGTGTCTGGACGCTGATGGGAACCACTTTGAGCACTTCTTGTAATTGCAGAAGTCAAAGGTGACTTGTATTCATCTTTTGTTATGGGTCTATATTGAGTATTACAATTTTAATAGTTTTTTCTTTCTTAAAATGTGTATACATTTTTGGCACCATAAATATAAATAAATATAAACACAAATATAAATATAAAGTTGACAGTCAATATTATTCAGCTTCAGCTTCAGGTGTACAGCGCAGTGGTCAGGCACCTACACCGTCCACAAAGTGGTCTCCCTAATAAGACAAGTGCCCATCTGACACCCCACATAATCTTTACAACATTATTGATTCTTTATAATATGCGTTTCAACAAAACAGTACACAGAACTGGTCAGGTTCCCTGGGGTATGGCTTAATGATGGCACCCATGGCATTCCAAGAAAATGGGAACACTCGTAAGAAGCTTTATTTGGCAAGAGCAGAAGTGTGCTCCCCTGTGAGATGATTACACACAGAGAGAAAAAGGGGGAGTTGGACAGGGGGAGGAGAGGAGAAAAGACATGGAGAGACAGAGGGAAAGAGAGAGTGAAGGAAGGGAGACACGGAGGAGCGAAAGTCTGAGAATGACATGGATGAACCTTGAAAATACTATGCTAAGTGAAAGAAGCCAAACAAAGTCCACATGTTATGCCCTCATTGATAGCAAATGACCAGAACAGGGAAATCCACTGAGACAGAAAGGAGATCAGTGGGTACCAGGGGCTGGGGGGAATATCTGAAATTATTTTACATACTGTCTGTGTCCTTCCAGAGAAAATAACTTCACGATGGCACTGAACTAATCCACATGGTATGCCCAGCACCTGGAACAGTGCATAGCAGCAAAAAGGCACTCAATAAACATTGCTGAATGGATGAATGAAGGTCATTTACAATACTCTGACCCAGGTGGTTCAGGGATTCCTTAAACAAGAAATTTACAATATACAAAGAAGAACATTCTCTACCAGAAAAATAAATGAGCCAAGGAGAGATGGACAGGCCTATTTTTTTGAAACTTCAGTTGCATGAAATGTAAGCTAAAATAGAAAAAAAAGGATGACAAAGTGTTATGGTCTTGAAGGATGTCATTCAACCAGACATCATATGCTGGCAGTCCTATGGGTCCCAGACACACTGCCTGATGGGTGTTGATAAGTAGCATCAGATGGTCAAGCACATGGCTGAGAAGGCAGTGTATGCGTAAATATTTAAAAGTCCTCCATCAGGAAATTAACAAATTTACTAACGGGGGGTCAGTTTTTACTTTAAAATTTTGTTTTGATTAGTTTATGGTCATGTTTATTTTTGGAGATGTGAAATGATTTCATTAAAACCATCACTGCTAATAAATGAAGTGTATTTATTTCCCTAGCAATCTACACCTGCATATAAAGGACTGTGTGCATGCTCAGCAAAGACCCTAAGATCTTGCCTCACACCATACACAAAAATGAACTTCTAAGAACTTTATAGTTTCATGTACATGATCCATTTTGAATTCGTTTTTGTATAAGGTATGAGGCACGGGTCTAACTTCATTCTTTTGCATGTGACTATCCGTTGTCACACCATCATTTATTGAAGAGACTATTCCTTCCCCCCTGTCGAATGGTCTTGACACCTTTGTCAAAAGTCAACTGGCCATAGATACAAGAGTTTATTTCTAGACTCTCAATTCTATGTCATTGAGCTCCATACCTGTTTTTATACCAGTACCACACCATCTTGATTATTGCAGATTTGTAGCAAGCTCTGACATGACATTGAGAAGAGTGTGAGTCTTCCAACTTTTCCTTCTTTTGCAAGATTTTTTGGGTTATTCTGGGTCCCTTGAATTTCCATATGAATTTTAGGATCAGCTTGTCCATTTCTGCAAAATTCCAGCTGAGATTTTGACAGGAATTGCATTCAGTCTTTTGATCAATTTAAATAGGTGAGCATTCCTCATGTATGTTTGACTTTTACACTAGAGACCCAGTCCTTCCAATCAAATCAGTCAAAGAACAATAATGACTGACGCTTGCTGAGCACTCACCTTGTACCAAGTCCTGTGCCGAGCACTTCACATGGGCCTGCTCATCTAATCCTTATAATAATCCCAGGAGGTAGGGCCTATTATTAACCTCATGCAACAGATGAGGAAACTGAGGAGCAGAGAAGTCAGATGACTCACCCAACATGACAGAGGTGGGGTTCAGACACAGGAAGTCTGGCTCCAGAGCTCCTGCCTTTCTCAATCCAGAATATACAAAGAGATCCCACAAACCCATAAAAAAAGAAAGAAAAATGGGGAAAGGATATGAACAGACAATTCACCAAAGAAGAAAATGCAAATAGCAAACAAATATATGAAATGGTGCTCCATGTTAGTATAATCAGGGAAATGTATAATAAGCAATAGGGTATTTTGTTCATCATATTTATAAAATGTCTTTGATTGGTAAAATCTGGTGGTGGTATGGGTCTGGCATAAAAGGTACTCTTATAACAGCATTGGTAGGCATTTATAATGGTACATTCATTTTGGAAATAATTTTACAGGATGTACTAAAATATAAAATACATATATCCTTTTGCCTCATAGTTTCATTGTACTTGGGCACAAAGGATATAGACAAGAATTGTTCACTGAAGCCCTATTTGGAATTGCACAACGGAAACAAACCACATGTCTGCCAGTAAGGAAATGGCATCATTGGCCATGACCAAAGCAACACCACTGGAATGTCAGCCCCATGAAGCATAAGTCTGAGATATAGGTATATGGATAACGTAGTAGGTTGAATGGTGGCCCCAAAAATATATAACCAATTCCTAATTCCCACAACCCGTGAATGTGAATTTATTTGGAGAAAGGGTCTTTACAGATGTTATTAAGTTAAGGATCTTGAGATCATTCAGGATTATCCAGGTGGGTTCTAAATCTGAAAAAAAGTGCCCTTATAAGAGAAGAGGAAAAGACACACACACACACATACAAAGGAGAAGTCCATGTGAAGATGGAGGCAGAGAGAAGAGTGTTACAGGGCCAGCCAAGGAACACCAAGGACTGCCACCACCACCGGAAGCTGCAAGAGGCAAGACCCTCCCCTCGGGCCTTCAGCGGGAACGTAGT